CATCCCGCAATAATGATGTCTGCCCGAGACATCGAGAGCTGGGAAAAAGACCTCATCACACTTGAGATTGCATCCCTTCGGAGGTGGTTCCAGGGTCAAGATGGAGAGCTCCTGAGAGGACAATGTTTTCCCGGCCGCAGCTATCTGAAAGAAATCATCTGGCAATGCTGTGCACAGGCCTCTCCCTGCAAGCTGAAAAACATGCGTAATCGGGGCATCCTCACCGTTTTCGCAAACGAAAGTCCCCGGGAGGAGGTTGATGTCCTGCAGCGTAATCCTCGATTGTGCAATCTTTGGCTGGTTGTTCCTCCTGTCTTTATGTGGGAAATAATTTTTCATGCCGAGGCTATGGGCCTTGATCACGAGTCGGATCTGTTTTCCAAGCTCACCGTCAGTCCTGGCCTGGCCAATAGTATCTTTCTCAGAGGATTCAGCCTGATTCCACAGGAGCCTGGCCGCCTGTTCTGCATCCTTCCAAGGCAACGTCTTGCTAGCAAGGAAAGTGGTAATCCTGTGCAATGCTGTTTCTTCCTCAAACTGGGGCTTTGCACCACCCCTGATGCGGCACGTCACAGTCAGTATCTCGTTTGACACGATGTGATGGTCCTTAATGGCTTCTTGCGGCAAGATGCGTTTTGCGCCTTTGTAAATTTTGTGTTCTGCTGGATCGTAGTCAGCGAAGACACACTGGACTGCATATGCAGCATCCGCATTCAGAGGGACTCTTCCACAACTGGTTTTCCCCTCAGGAGTCCTGATGAATAAGTTGACGGAAGCGCCAATTTCCCCATCAAGTTGCAATGTCTCCTGGAGGTCGTCGAAGAACTCAACGTGTCGAAACCCATCTTGACCTCCCTCAAATGAGGCATCGTCTGCATCTCCGGACTGATCGTCGGGGGAAGAGTTGTCGTCCCATACATCATCAGCGATCGCAACATCATCTGCTGCCGCCGGTTCATGAACTCTCGGTGGAACAAGGTGCATGAACCGGGTATTCCCCGACCAAAGGAATTCCATCGCGACGTCATGAGGGGATGTGGTCCAATCGTCAAAATGGTCGAAACTCTCGTGTCTGCGGCCTATTGGAATGACAGCTGACCACCGCTGAGGTCTCAATCCTTCAAGAGTAATCCCTGGAGGTAGAGGCGCATCCTCTGGGAAGAACAGCAAAGTCCTGGGGGCCGCATGCATGCGTATGACTTCGATGTGCTGTAGCGGATTGAAGTGCCTCCAGACAAGCTGTATCCCAAAACCAATCTCATGATCATCCCGGGCATCGACAGTGATTGTTTTCCCATCCGGCAGCTTGAGGAATAGCATGCAGTCTGACCGACCGGTCGGCATTGCCCCGCCTACACTTCTGACTGTGATGCAAATTTCGTCATTTGGCCGCAAAACAAAATTCTTCCACAATGCCTGAGGGGGAATGGTGGTGCAATTCATATGAATCTTGTGAGATGTAGGATTGAAACCATTCCAGGCTTGCTGGATCGATGTCTGAACCATAGAGTCGTCATTCGCTAAGATAGCAAGGGTATTGCCTGTAGGCAAACGCAGGAAAACCTGAATGGGTTCTCGGGTACTGTCCTGGGTCTCCTCGAAAATAGAAAGACTGGAGTTACCTGATGGCGGTGCCTGATTGAGGCTGAGTCTGATGGTCTTGGTTGGTCTCAGGAACTCCCAAACTGACTGAAGGTCATTGATGCAAACTGGGAAATTGAGGTTGAGGCTTGCAACATCTGAGCCGTTCGATCTGACCTGAAAAGGATGCACAACGGAGACATGGTCATCAAGTGTCGGAATCTGCGAGACATGGGCACACTGGCTTTTGTCAAATTGAACGGTTGGAGTGATGGCCTCAAAAGGCTGGACATGCGCAAGGGTTCTGGGTTTGTCGTAAGCAAGCAAAAGCAAGGGAAAGACAACCTTGACATGCACCTCAAAAGGAGATCCATTCCTCGACACCTCGACCATCGCTGAATTGAGGTCAGATTGTGCATCAATTGCGTGGGCAAGCTCATCACCGACCTTCACCAGAAGTTTGATGATCTGTCCTCGATGTTGAATCTGAACAAGAACTTGGTGATTGGCGAGTTCACAGGGCAATTGGTGACCTTGGAATCCAAAAAGGATAAAGTCTCTCGTACATTTGATAATCCCCGGAATAGCTCTCATTCTGCAGATCCTGAAAGTTGCAATAAGGTGGGCAAATGACGACAAACCGCCGAATCTCAGCACGTCAATCGTGTGTAGCGCTATCCAAAGCGGAGCATATGCATGGACTTCAGCAATACTGTTGCCGACCAATTTGCATCCTTCTTGCAAATTTATGGGAAGAACAAACGGTTGGGTCGTACCAAGGGCAACGAGGATCTCAAGGGCAGAAAGGAATCTGAATTTTCCTCCGCATTCCCTTCCGAGCAGTTTCTTCGAAGTCAATGTCGAGATCGGAAGCTGGTGCTGTCGGGAATACATGCTCATGACGACAGAACCCGGAAGTGGGTTGTTCGGGTCGATCCTGCGGTTTTTGAGAACACCCTCTGAGGAGGCCTGGTTTCCATGCGAGTATTCCGGTTTCGAATAAATTTCCAACAACTTTCCAGAAAGGAAGGCATGTTGTGTCAACGATTCCGGGAGCCGATCAAACCAAGCATCCGAGCTGATCAAATCACATGATTTTCCAAAATACGCTGCTGCGACCTCCTGGGCCAGGTCACCTACCGGTTGGGCAAGAACTGACGAATGGGTCATAACCGCCAAGAATCTCCTCCGTTGCACCGGGGAAACATGTTGCAAGGGCAAAACTTTCGCAAATGCCAACTCATAGCCCGCTTTGTCCAATCTGATCAGAAAACCTCTTCGAAAATCCTCGTTTTCCCACACAGGTGCCACATTCTCTGCTGTGATGACGCGGATTCGCATCTGTGAAGCCTTAGCCAAGACGTCCTCAAGCGTCATTCCTACAGCCGTGTTCCATCCAGATTGGTTTCCAGCACCTGAAAATGACTGACAGGGCCAGCTGAGGGTCATTGCATTGCAATCCAAGATTGAAATGCTCGTCCATAAATCCGAATTGGCAGCATCACATGTCGCAACAAAAGGGGAGGAACAATCCCGGCTCGTGGGCGCCTGATGCAAATGTCGGGTTCCATGGATTTTGGAATATGAAAGAGTCGCCTTCACATCTGAGTCCGCTGATGCTGAGATCCGAACCGGATATCCGTGTTGAGACAGATGTCGGACCGCAAGCGTCCAACCTGAGATTCCTCCACAGAAGGGCACGAAAAAATTCAAACCCGCAGATTCATGGCTAGCCAGGAGCAATGGTCGCGATTCCACATTTGATCCAAGCACATCACAAAAAGAGGTCTCGCCAAATCTTCCATATTTGTAAAACATTCCATGCAGGTTCATGAGTCGGTTCGATGAAGCAGCAACATCAAATAGCTTCACCTGCATCCCGAGGGCGTCTGGAACCACAACGTGCGAAAAATCACTCTGGTGCTGAGTGCGGATAGCATAGGACTGACAATCCTCGATAGAGGCCACATGTCCAAGAACCTCAATCAAGAAAGAATCCTGAAAATAAATTCGGTCCAAATCACATCGAGGGCGCTTCAGACCTTGCATGTACATTGTGGCAAGACCTCCATGTGAATCCGCACCATATACCTGATCACCATCAGGCATCAAGTCACGCAGCTGGTCGGTCAATTGCTGATGCGTGTCATGTTGAGGCTTGAGGGGGTCCAAAATGGTGTTCATGTTCATCGTGAAAATTGGGTGCTCGGTTTCTGCTCCATGCCCATCCATGGTCCCGGCCGCGCCACGAGGAGGCACCTACTTTGAGCACTAGCGGCTAGGTATTCCCCACGCCAGAATACAGCAGCAAACAATCCTCGGACCCCGTGGTGCCCCTGGTCCCACGCAGCAAAACCGTGGCGCTGATCAGCCTCATCCTGGAGCAGTATCGAGGCGTATTCGAGAAAATCTACATCTTCAGTCCAAGTGTCAACATTGACGATGGTTGGATCCCCGTCAAAAAGTACATAGAGCAGGACCTGGGAGTGAACACGGAGAAAGAGCAGGCCTACTGGGAGGACTGGGACGAGGCGGCGCTGCGGGGCATCATCCAGAGGCAGCGCAAGATCACCGAGACATCCAAGAAGTTGGAGATGAAGAAACTGTACCAGGTGCTGATCATCCTGGACGACCTAGCGGACATGCCGCAGCTCCACAAGGCCAACGGCGCCCTGGACACGCTCTTCATCAGAGGCAGGCATATGCAAATCAGCACCTGGGTGAGCTCCCAGAAGCTGAGGCTCATCAGCGCGGCAGTGCGGGTCAACCAGCAATTTCTTTGCTGCTGGAGGCTGCGCAACCAGCACGAGCTGGACGCCGTCATCGAAGAGCTGAGCGCCCTGCTGAAGGACAAGCTGCGCAGGATCTATGAGCAGGCGACTCGGGACCCCTACAGCTTCCTCTTCGTCTACTACCGGTGACTCTGTCGTCCAGGGACTGGATGGCCGCTGCGTTGTTGCCGGAGGCTGCCGTGTTCACCGCCAGGTCCGTTACTTGCACGTAGGGCGTCAGCAGGGCCAGCTGCCCTGCGGTGACGTGCGTGCCGTCAGTCCAGGACCTCCGGGATGTTGCCGGTGACAGGTCCTTCAAACATGTTTACATATGTTTTCGCCGACGCCTTAGTCCAGTAGGCGTCGGCCAAGGAGCTAAGCGCTTCTTACTCCGCACGGGGCTCGATTCCTGCCGCGAGCGCAGTTGAGTACCATTCAGTCCGAACTCCGGAGCAGTTGATGTGGTGGGAACAACCCGACCAGGTTCCAAAGTGCAGCATGCATCCTTGCCTAAAGGCACTGTTTTGGCCCATGTGCAGCCCAATGATGACACCCGCATCGTTTTGATTCCCAAAAGCCCGGAGATCTTCATGCACGAAGTAAGGGCGGCTACTCACCCGGCGGCTGCAGCTGCGCCCGTCCCGGCTGATGCGCGAGGCCATACACGAGCAGACCACCCGGCAGCCCGCGACCATCGCGCGACACTGGGCGAACCGCCTCAAAAGCCTGCTCGAGCGGGCTCAAGAACTTCAGCCCTCGGAGCTCGCAGCCCTAGCTGAAACGGACGCAATCCTACAGCAGGTGAACTCCGGCAAGAGGGTGTTGTTGATGAGCGAGATCTTGAGCTCCATCCAGTACCCCGATCTGGAGGTGTGCGAAGACCTTCGGCATGGCTTCCCTTTGGCCGGATGGTTGCGACATACAGGGTTGTGGTGCATCAGCCCCCGCTGCTGCAGGTTGAGACCCTCAACCAGCTGGCGTTACCCGTACGCACCTCATTGCTCCGCTCCTCGAACGATGATGAAGTGGCGGCGCGCCTGTATCAGGTCACGCTGCAAGAGGTGCAGGATGGGTCACTCCTACCTGGAGTACCGCTCGATGAGGTTCCTCACGATGTTGTGGTGTCCCCAAGGTTCCCGGTGATCCAGGGACCCAAGCTGAGGGCGATCGACGATATGTCGGCTTCCATGATCAACGCGACAGTCGGCTCGCATGAAAAATTGCAATTTTACGACATTCCCTGTATTTTGGCACTGCAACGCTTCAGGCCGACCGCTTCATGGGCGGTCCTTCGACATGCAGAATGCATATAGACAGATTCTGGTCTTACCGGCTCATCGTCGGTTAGCATATGTGGCACACTGTCCATCTGCGGGTCGGCCTTTGGCCTTCGCCATGAACTGTATGCCTTTTGGCGGCACAGCATCGGTTTATGCGTTTGCCCGCACGGCAATGGCTTTGCAGCGCATTTTGACACAGGTCTTTTGGGTGGTCATCACCAACTACTTGGACGATTATGTCCCATTTTCGGACGTGGCACTTGCTAGCGTATCTGAAAAGGTGATTCGAACAGTATTCCACGTTTTGGGGTTCGTCCTTAGCACCAACCCCAAGAAAGACCACCCTTTTGCGGAGACCTTCACGGCCTTGGGGGTTGAGTTCCTGCTCCATGACACCCCAACGTTTGGCAGTCCGCAACACGGCCGCTCGGTGTGAAGAGCTGCTCGCCCTCCTGCATGAGATTCTGCACTCCGATTGCGTCACAGCCCGACAATTGCAGTCCCTCCGATTCAGGTTGCATTTCGCCGAGGCCCACATGTACGGCCGCGTTGGGGTTTGTGTGATCAAACAGATGTCGGTGGTGGAGGGCTTTACACAAACTTCCCCGGCCCTGCGTGTGAGCATTCAGGCCATGATCCACCGGCTACAACACAACCCTCCGGTGGAGGTCCCCATGCTTCAGAAAGAACCACGGCATGTCTTCACAGATGGAGCTCAGGAGGGCGAAGGAGATCAAGCCAGGACCAGCATTGGGGCAGTGGTCATCAGCCCCAATGGCACGGAGGGATGGCACGGAGGTGTGGCCACCTTGGCGCATTTTGCATGCAGAACTCCTAGTCCTGGTGGCCTTGGTGGCGTGGGGAGAACATCTGAGAAATCAGCCAGTATTCTTTCAGATTGACAGCGAAGCTGCTAAGCACTCGCTTATTCGGGGTACTTGCCAGCAGCGCGAGGCCCAATTCCTTGTTTCCGCAGTTTTGCATTTGGAAACTCAGTTGTGTTTGCGTCCATGGTATTCTCGGCATTCCGAGTGAGTCCAACCCTGCGGATGCGCCCAGCAGGTTGGCGTTTTCAGGCCTGACACAGCAAGGTTTTGACCACCAAGCGGTGTCTAACGACTCTGTGCTGGCCTTGGTTCAAGCCGCACGCGGGCGGTGACCTCGGATGAAGAATGCGGGGTTTGAGGCCTTCAGTCACCTTTCGCAATGGGTCTAATAGAGGTTCCTTCAGGCCCCGTTTGATGTTTGTCTGTGTGTAAAGGAAAGCCTCATTTCACCCCTGTGATCTGAATGCAGGTTTCTGCCCGCTGTGGAGAAAAGAAGAATAGTGAAGTCTTATGAACTTGATGAATATATAAGATATAGAGACAAATGCTCACTGATAAGAATTAAGGATAGCCTTGAAGTGACGTTTGTCCCCCGTGAGCATTTGGCTCTATAGCTTGTACCCACACATGCATGCACAGGTTTGGTGTCAAATTTTTTCCCCGAGGGCAGCAGCCGCTGGCGCACGGCCTCAGGCGTGAGTTTCGCGTGGAAGACGCGCTCGGACGCGGCCGCCAGCTGCTCGACCAGATCGGTCTCGGCCCGCTCCCAGAAGAGCCTCGTGCGCTCGTCGGTTGCAAAGCTCACTGGCCCTCGGAAAAGGCCCTGGGCTCCCATGGAATTTTCGAAGCTTCGCTCTGCCAAAGCAGCGGCTCCAGGCTCAAGAACTTGCCACCCTTAGCATTGGAGCGCACCTCACCCAAGTTCCACACGCTCGTCTGGCTCGGCATCCTTTTCTGTCTCCGATTAAAAGCCCTCTGGCTCAAGCCTCCACGGGGCGAGGGTGGTGCGGTTCACGGGGGTGGTCGCTGCCGATTGGGTCGTTTCGCGGTTTCGCCTTTGCTTTGAGGCCTTGGGAGGCGGCGAGCTTTCACTTGCTCGACACCATGAGTGTCTTTGAAGATGCCCGAGTTGGGGGTTTCAGAAAGTTGGATTTCGAAACGGTTTGGGAGAATGTTCAAGTCAAGGGAAAAGGCGCTTTGGGTTTTGAGGTCCTGGGGCAATTGCAGGAGTACCTCTTTAGTGTCAAGTACTGGGATGCTTTTGGTTTGCAAGGAGAGGCTCGACTATGGACAGGACATGTGGAGACGCGTCCGCACAGGACAGAGGCCAGCTTGGTCTCGGTGCTTGGGCTCTGCAAAGTGGCTTTGCGGACAGAAAACCGAGTCTGGATCACTGGGGTGGTGAAACTGCCGAAAGAACAAAGGGCGGAATTGGCTACTGACTACATGTCGCAGGCGTGGCTTGTTCCCAAGCAAGGTCTGCAAGTTGGGAATGTTTTTGTGGGGGTTTTGGCGGTTGGGGAAGGGCTGTGGATTGGCTTCAGACGGTGGGAGTGGAGATGAAGGTTGTGGGAGGTTTTGACTGGGATAGGCAAGCCTGTGAGTGCTATGTGGCCAACTTGGGTGGGGAAGTAGTCTCACCTTTTGAAATGGCGACGAAAGGAGGGAAACTTGAAGGACTGGATAGGAGTAAATGGATCTTCGTGTCTCGGGTGCAGGACAAAGGCATGTGGTCGTGGCCTACGCTCTTGGGAGTTTCGGTTTTTTCCATATCTGCGCCATGCCAAAGCTTTTCGCAAGCAGGAAGTGGGCGTCGCAGGAAGGAGCAGCCATGGCATGGTCACTTGCGTGGGCCAGCTCCGTGCAAGCCAAGGTCATTTTGGTTGAGAATGCAATTTTGGGATGGTTTTCTGGAACTGGTTGACTGGATAGGTTATCGGGTGTTGGACGACAGGATCAGCTCACTGTCGGAGGTTAGACCAGCCATCCGCAACCGTCTGCTATGTGTCTTGGTCCCCAAGTTTGCGGGGAAACCGGGTGTCGAAATTCCTGGTTGGCCAATGTTGATGAAACCTTCACTCATTTGTGCCAACGCTTGGTTTCAGGTGGACGTCCAGGCGTTGGATCTGCTTGAAGATCCTAGGCTTTTGCCCGCAGGATGGATGGCTCAGGCAGGCAACGGTGCGGACAAGGTTGCTCTAGGAGCCAGATTGCAGAAGAAGAATGAACAAATGTCTGCTGCAATTTTGATGGCCAGTTACACGAGCCAGCATTTGATTCCTCTCTGTCACCTTCTTAAAAAGGGACTTTTGACCAAGGTCCGTGAGCAACAAGGAGGATACAGGTATGTCACAAGTCACGAGCAAGCTCTGGCGCTTGGAATCACTCAGGATGTTTTTCTTCCGGCGGGCATGAAGCCCGGGCAGACGTTTCTTGGGAATTGCATTTGCCCGGCGCACGCATTGCAGCTGTGGGTGGCCGCCAAGATTCTGGGTCACATGAACTGGAGTTTCGAGGAATCTTTCACAGGTTTGAGTCCTCATTGGTTGATGTGAAATCGGTCAAACTGTGGATTGACAAAGGTTGGGTCAAAATGAGCAAGATTGAGCATGAAGTGCGTGCGGACACGGTCATAGAAACACCTGGGATATCTCCCACGCTTCCTTGGACTGCCAATCCAGGTTTGGAGGTCAGCAACATTCAGGATGTTCAGGTCCGTACGGATCCAGTCATCGGGATCGAAGTCGCAAAAGGCCAGGATTTGGTGCTAAGGAGAATGTTCAGTCGTGCTGAGGATGTGACGGAGGACGCACTTGCCAGGACGTTTGCGGCAGCCCTAAAGCTTTTGCCAGGTTTGTTTGGAGAGGAAACGCTGGGGGGACGGTCGTCTTTCGCTGTCAATCTTCTTGTGGGAGAAAAGCAGGTCACCAGGAGCATGAATCAGACGAACACGGAGTGCAAAGTTCTGGTTCATTGCCATGGTGCTGTTTGTTTTGAACTTGGGATACCACATCGCACGGAAAATGGGGGGTTATGCGAAGCTTTGATTGCGCTGTCCAAGGATCCCACACTTGCCATTATCAAGCCAGGTTCGGGAACACTGAGGCCAGATTGTACCACCGTTGGGAGTCAGGCTGAGAATGCAGGAATTTTGTTGTTGGACATGGTTGCTACCAGGATAGTGGAGGACACGGATTTGCTCTTTGACGCCAGCACACAGGACCATGCTAGAGATGCTCGGGACTCTTGTACCGTGTTCTTTGAGAAAGCCGGACACACTAAGGCTGCTGTGCTACCTCGGATTGTTTCGGAAAACGAAATCTATGCGGTAGAGCGTGAGATGTTTGGATTTGAGGAAGAAGGCACGGTTTATTTCAAGGGACACATGTTGGAAAGGAGTTGCGAAAGAAATTGGAGAGTGGAGCAGCATGACACGTTTGTGGTGACTAGGCCCATACATGGAGGTATGCCAAAGGTTGTGGTCACCATTCGACAAGGACAGGACAAATGGTCGGGTCAATGGAATTTGCAGGCCGGACACAGTTTCTCTCTTTTCGTTGGGGGACTTTTGGGAAAACCCGCTGGTGGTTTGATGTTTGAGGATGCGGCCACCAACAAGAAGTGGAAGAACAATGTCCCGACTGAGGCCTTTCGTGTCTTCGGAAACGGCCAGATTTTTTTGGAGGCCAGACTTGGGAAACCGGAGCCGGCAGGTTCGGAAAAGTTGCAGGTATTTGTTGAAGAGTTCGGGCGTGCGCGAGTT